TGAGACACACTTCTTTATTCAGCTAGCTGCTTTTTAGGATTTATTTTCTATTCAGACTAAGTGTGAATTGGTGCATTTTCTTACAGGGGTACGGTGAAGCTGGTTACACTTACATTCAGTCATTTGACCCATGCATTTACTTTTAGGTTGGTGGCTTCGATGGAAACAACCGTCTGCGCACCGCTGAGGCTTACAACCCGCATACCAATACGTGGAACCTCGTATCCTCCATGCTGACCCCCCGCAGCAACTTTGGCATTGAGGTAATTGACGATCGCCTCTTTGCCGTCGGGGGTTTCAACGGCTTCACCACCACTTTGAACGTCGAGTACTACGACGCTTTAACCAATGAGTGGTATGAGGCGTGCGACATGGAGATTTTCCGCAGCGCCTTGAGCTGCTGTGTGGTGTCTGGACTTTCCAACCTGACTGAGTACACCTTTCCTCGTGACTTCCTGCCACTTGCAAATGTGCCAGAAGAAGCAATGGAGTCAGCAGAGTCCACGTAACATCTTTAAAGTGCAGTACTGCCATGTGTCAACATCTGAGACTCCAACATGAAGGACTGAAATAAATCTTTAGAGCATTAAACCGCTGGTGAACTGGACACTTTTTGTAGATATTTCAAAAACTTTCAGTATGTGTGTGAGGAGAGCCTGCACTGCAGATACTGGGTTTTATTAAGAGAATGCAATTGCAACAATAACAAATTGAAAAGATTTTTTCATTCCCTGTAATGTATGGCTGCTGAGTAGCCATACCAGACATGCACACAGGGTGACAAGATGACAATAAGCCGCATGTCGGACTTTTCAACTCTTGCTAGGTAAACACAATAAGAATAAAGGGAAGTTTTCACTCTCCCTTGTTACTTCAGCTGCGGTTCTGTCTGGTAACAGTCTATAGGTTTGAGTAAGGATGTATCCATAGCTCTTTTTGGAGCACTAGCTGACAATCTTTAGCCAAATATCACACAAATATACTGTGTCGCTTCACACCATTTTTTTTTATCTTGTGTGAAACTGAAAAATAACTCTATTTCTCAGTATATGTGCTTTGTGGTATTTTACACTATATTGCATAGAATGATATATTTGTTTATGCTTAAAAGCACCAACTTTATATGTACTAAGGAAAATCCATTGTTTAGAAAGGTGGATGTCCTGCAGAGCCTGTAAAATGTGGGACATTGGTTCAAGATGTGGGAGATGGGGTGAAGCATAAAAATACAGTGCAGTCCCCCTTATAGGGGGACATCTGATCCCCCTACCTGCACAACATGAAGGTTGAAGCAACACCAGTAACACAACACCTTATGGAGGTAAACCAACGTGTAGACAGTGATGTGTAAAGCTGTTCATAGGAACATCCTCCATCCATGGTGGTGTAATCTTTATTCTGATGCTGAATTGATTGATTTGTGAATTTACTGTAAACATTTCTTACATTTTTCTTATTGCAAGCAGAAACCTGTCCCGGGATTGTTCCTGCTGCTCCATTTTATAAACACTCTAAATCAAACTCATTCCATTATAATTTTTTCAATTTTAGAATGATGTTTTCATTAAATGCTCTACATCTACATCAAACCAGGCTTGTCACATACAACCTGCTATTAGTCCTGTATATTATTTATTTTAGGACTTCCTGTGACCTCTGTGTCGGTCTATGATAACATTACACGTATTGATGCATATACTTGTGATGCTTAGAGGCACTATAAACTTTAATAAATGGTGCATTAAAGTTTATACCAAAACTGCGATGCTAGCTCACACATTGCTCATTGCAATTCCTGTTTTCATAGCCATTGATATGAAAAAGTAGAATGGGAGGGAGAGCCTTCAGTTTTCAGGCCCCTCTTCTGTGGAACCAGCCTTCAGTTTGGATTCGGGAGACAGACGCTATCTCTACTTTTAAGATTAGATTTAAAACTTTCCTTTTTGGTAAAGCACATAGTTAGTGCTGGATCAGGTGACCCTGAATCCTCCCTTAGTTATGCTGCAATAGGCATAGGCTGCTGGGGAACTCCCATGATGCATTGAGTTTTTCCTTTTCAGTCACGTTTTTCACACAGTATGTGTTAATAGACCTCTCTGCATTGATCATACTTGTTATTAATCTCTGTCTCTCTTCCACAGCATGTCTTTTATCCTGTCTTCCATCTCTCAACCGGTCGCAGCAGATGGCCCCGCCCCTCCCTGAGCCTGGTTCTGCCGGAGGTTTCTTCCTGTTAAAAGGGAGTTTTTCCTTCCCACTGTTGCCAAAGTGCTTGCTCATAGAGGGGTCACATGATTGTTGGGTTTTTCTCTGTATCTATTATTGTAGGGTCTACCTTACAATATAAAGCCCCTTGAGGCGACTGTTGTGATTTGGCGCTATATAAATAAAATTGAATTGAATTGCTCATCTTCCTCCAGATCTACACACTTCAATTACAAGAACTTACTATTTTTGCCCTTATGGTTCTCCTTCTGCACTTAAAGCCCCGACAGAGCCATGGAAAAAGGGTGCTTTATTCCCTCTGACATTTCCATCCATCCATCTGTCCATTTCCTTTGGCAGTGAGACATTTTGTGATTAAATAAATCTTGAGATAATTGAAACTAGAGAGACTGAGAAACAGAGTAAAATGCAAACATGCTCAAGAAAAAAAAAGTCAGGCAGCGATTCAGTCTCAGTAGAAGTCGATGCTTTTACATGACTTTCTGGCTGATGTCAAGGACTGGATGTTCCACAATCTCCTCCAACTAAATTTGGACAAAACTGGGATTATTCAGGGGGAAGAAAAGCTTGAATGACTTCAGTCCGTCCTCTGTTTTGCCGCATGCACTCCCCTCTCTCTGCCTCTCCCTTTCTCTCTCTCTTAATCTCTCTCTTCTTCTCTTTCCCTCCTCTGCACTTTCTCTCTTTTTGTCTTCTTCTTTATCTCACAGACAAAGCACTGGTTGCTCGTTTTTGGTCAGAGTCACCTTGAGGCAAACAGAGCTTTGTGTGCATTTGAGTGCATCTGCATAGGAATTTATATATATACACTTTGTGTACATAAAGGTCACGTCCAATTATTCATAAATACTGATACATGGAGTGATACATTTTAGGCTGGGAGAGGGGTGTATTGTTGTTCCTTTTCATGCACTTAGACCATGAAATGACTGAAATGAAGGTGTAGTGAGTTGTTTCAGTGCAGGACATTATTTGTTAAAGTTTTACTTTTTGGTTGCTGTTGTTTAGTGACTGATTTTCACACTCTGTGAGTTTATTCATGAGCGAAGCACTTGTACTGTACACTGAGCCCTACATCTGCTCCATGCTGCATTTATCACTGAAAACATCTCAACACTTAAGTCCAGAGCAAGGGGATGCAGTGGAGATGTCTTTGTGGTCTGACCATGACTTAGGAGTATCCACACTGATGGGCTTCACAGGCAAATCCCAACCACAGATACTGGAAGAATACCTTAAGAGATGGGTTATATTATGTGCTGTCATTTTCTATGTTAGTGCTGTGGTCATATTGGGAATAAGTGAAGATTAGGGTATGTTTGGAGTAAAGCTACTAGTATAGACTTTGGTTAATAACAGGCAAACATTAAAGCTAAACTATAACTACTAAGTATGTTCCAGTCCATGTTGTGAGGTGTTAGAAACTTGCGAAGAGGAGCTTGCCTGTTTTTTCAGATGAGTATGGAGGGCAAAAATGCAGGAAGTGCAATAGTGTGCAAAAGTTTTTTCAGCCACATCTCATTTATTTATATTCTGCTTATAAAATGAGAAATAGGAGCAGCAAACATACAATTTTATCTCTGCAAACATACATGGAAAAACAGAGGCTTTACGATTCTAATTAGATTGAAGGTCAATATTTGTTAGTCTATAGCAGGCCATAGACCGCCATCGTGGGTGATAAACTACCAGTCTGTGACCTATACTGTGACCTACACTGGTGACCTGTGCAGGGTGTACCCTGCCTCTCGCCCTGTGAGGGCTTGCATCAGCTCCAGTCAAAGCGCAACCCTGAATTGGATAAACACAAGAAAATACATGAATGCATCTTTCCTTCAAGATCCAACGCCACCGGCTGATATGCAGCTTCAAACTATGAAAGAGCCTCAACTGTGTTTTACAGATGACTGTAGGCACTCCCTGTGGTTTCCATTTCTCTTCCTTAAGAATGGCTTCTTTGCAGCCCTTCTACTGACACGATTTCTGATGAGGCATCAGCAGAAATTCTTTGTTTGTGCAACTGACTGTTATTAACAACATTTCTCAAGAAACTGTTCAAAATGGGCTCTTTGCTAAGCTATCTGTTGTTCGTCGTCACAAAACTGGTTCATCCCTTTAGATGCCACAATGTTGAGTGGCTTAACAAACAAACAGCAAACAAACAAACATCCTCAATTGACTGAAAACGAAAAAGCAGACAAAAACTGGAAAAACTGCATTGTATAAAGAAATCAGGGTGGCTCCCGACTTTTGCACAGGAATGGTGCAAGCAGAGGACTTTCATTTGGGAGAGCAAGGTCTGACTGTGCTGATTTATCTTTAGCCTGTGTGACGTAAATGCGTATGCTTCTGCTCTCCTGTTAGCAGGGACTCAGAACAGAGAGGAAGGAGTGCTAAAATGCTGTATTTGAATCTATTTTACTTTGTTTTATTCATGTTTTTATTTGCTTCGCTGTCTTCTTTCAGGTCTGGGACACGAGTTAAAGTCCAAGTTGTGTGTGCTTAAAGAAGACTGACTCTTCAATAATTTCCATCACTCTGGATTGATTTACTCAACTACTGCATGTAATAGTACTTAAAACTGATGTGGGCCAACACAGTGGTCAGCAACTTCCCCAATTAGTGTAACATATAGTGAAGTAACTTTAATGAGCTTCTTGGACTTAATGAGAACAACATTTCATAAAACACATTGCTTGGGAAATTAACTACTTCATCATGTACCACTGTAGTGACAACAGGGGGAAATAGCTGATTATGTAAATTAGGTTCTCAACATTAAACTTGCCCGTGTGCCTCAGGCTTCACAGAGAGGGCCTGCTACTTTGAGGCCATGGTGTTAGCTTCACTTTTAACCTCTCTCCATGAAGCTCTCGCCGCTTCCTCCATTAGCACCGGATGCCAGCACTGGATATAAATTGCGCAGCGTAAAATCACCCAGTATGAACACAGTTGCTGGGAACAGTGGGCTACTGAAGGTATGTGTAAGTGAGCAAAGTGCCAATTTTTTTTACAGTATTCACATGTGGTCTAGCATCTACAGTTTGCAATAACTGTCTAAAAAGGCTCATATGCATGCACGTGCCCTTACACGATGTAACGAAAGACTCGCGCAAGTACATACTGACAATCCAAACCACCCAAACACACACTAACAGGGATACACACACACACATACACACACACGTTGGGAAGCCCTGACATGCACAAAGCACAGAGGTTTTGAAAAAATTATTAGCTAAAGTTACTCGGCTGATGGCTGATGCTCTAAAAGCTCTGTGCAATACAACTTTAATAGCACTGGCAACAGGGTACACACACATCCACGCACACACATATACACAGAGCCATTTTCTCTCCCCTTA